TCTCCCCCTCTCTGAAATCAATAAAGAAATGTATTTTAAAAACAAAATAAAATGGAGGAATAAACCAAAAGGAAGGCATGGGATCAAGAAAAAAAGGACTCAACTAAAGTGAAAGAAATTCCCAGAATGTCAGCTAAGAGAAGTCCCAAGATGACAACTCTGCAGCAGGCCTAAAAAGAAACAATCCAGATCAAAGCTGGAAGGACAGCTATAAAAAGGATGGATAACTACAGGGACAAATGTAACTGGTACGTATATCTGACAGACCTGACCATGTGGAAAATTGGACTGAGAAACATTTTATGAAGCTGCTGGAGGGTACAGAAAGACTTTTCTAGACAAAACTAAGCAAATGGAAAAATTAGGCATTAAAAACAAAAGGTTACACAAGAAAATAAAATTATAATAAACCATCTCAGGAGCAACAAATATTTATTTGGTCATAATGATAAAAACTCTGAATATGAATTTACCCTAAAATTGTGGAATAACAATATTAGAAAGATGGGGAATAATCTAGTTTTTAAAAACCTTTGAAGATCTATGCTAAACTTTAAAATCACTGGCATTTACATACCTCCAATTATTCCATTCTAAGAAAAGCCTCTATTTTCATTACAGTCAAATTCTATAACTACACTTTCAAGTAAAAAATTCAGTTAAGATGCTCTGGTTCTGTCTTGGGATATATCACATGGTCATTCTAAGAAAAAAAAAAAGCTAATAAATGCAAAGCAAAAGCTAACAAAAATTAGATGATCTATGTAAGTTCCCCCCTCCCCCAAAAAATAATTGGAATGTTTCCCGAATTTGCTTATCATCCTTGTGCAGGGGCCATGCTAATCTTCTCTGTGTTGTTTCAATTATAGTCTATGTGCTGCTGAAGCGAGCACTGATCTATACAAGTTTTATTGGTTACTGGAATCAGATAAGGCATTTGTTACCTAATATGTTTGTTCTGTTGTTTGTTATACTATAACTCTGAATGTTGGATACCTTTAGTACATGTCCCACTTTTACTTCCATATTTACTGATTCACTAAATTAGTCTTACATGGGCTGTGAACTCTTCAGCAGGTTACCTCTGTAAGCACCAAAGCCTGGTTATTTTGTTATAAAAATCTACAATGTTCTGCACATTTTTTATAACAAACTTAACTTTTACTTGGTAACTCAGGCTATCATGCAAGATAGCTGCAGTACTATGACAGAGGCTTTGGGTATGTAAAGCATCAATCCATATGCTAAGTGGGCCTAGACTGGTATGCTTTTATTTTTTATTTTGTTTTTTTTTTAATATATTTCATTGATTTTTTACAGAGAGGAAGAGAGAGAGATAGTTAGAAACATCGATGAGAGAGAAACATCGATCAGCTGCCTCCTGCACTTCTCCTACTGGAGATGCCCTTGACTGGAATTGAACCTGGGACCTTTCAGTCCGCAGGCCGACGCTCTATCCACTGAGCCAAACCGGTTTCGGCTGGTATGCTTTTATAATTCTCTTGTTTATCAGTCTTAACTCTCAAATCTACTGTCAATGATCCTTTCTGTGTCTGAATTCACCCACCTTTTAATTTGTTATGAGGTTAACAAAAACAAATTATCATGCTTCTGACTCAAATAACTTGTTAGAATGATAGCCAATGTAAAAAACTAGCAGTTCCTACTAAAGACTTGCAGAAAACAACTCTAATACAAATAAAGGAGCTTAATTGCTTAACGAAATTGAGAGGCTAAATCTTTTGGATTTTTGTTTTTGAAAGATCTATTCCTTGTTTCAGTGTCTTAATACCTAAGTTATGGTTCTGATTCAGATTGTTCAATCAGTGAGCTATGGGATAACTGAGAGGGCTCACTAAACTATCCTATGTGCTATCCAGATGAACTATCCAAGTTAGAATAACACTAAAAATAGGAATATATATACCTAAAACAAAACAACTTGTTACCACCTATTCACTAAGATTTTTACAAAAAGCCCAGAGAAAAAAGAACTGTATTACATGTTAGAACTTTTATATTTGCAATTATAACTATACTAGAGGTCCAGTGCACGACATTCGTGAACTGGGAGGGTGGAGGGACCTCAGCCCCGCCTGCACCCTCTCGCAGTCTAGGAGCGGGCCTAAGCAGGCAAGCAGACACCCCCCCAAGGGGTCGTTAGTGCTGCTACCACAGCCACTGCGCTCACCAGCCATGAACCCAGCTTCTGGCTGAGTGGCGCTTCCCCTGTGGGAGCTCACTGACCACCAGGGGGCAGCTCCTGTGTTGAGCGTCTGCCCCCTGGTAGTCAGTGTGCATCATAGCGACCAGTGGGTCGTAGTTTCACTGTTCAGTCAATTTGAATATTAGGGTTTTATTATATATGATTGAATGCATGTATATAATCTTGCCATTTCAATAATACTGTTGCTTAAGAATCTTCTTAATTGAATAAAACAAAACCTTAATTCAGTATATCAGAGTTTTAGAAGGATAGAAGCACTTCCCAAATTAAGAGGGAAATATTTTCACCATTAAATTTACCATCAAGACACTGAAAAGCTAGCCTCTTTGAATTTTTAGGTTTTTTTCAATAAAATATCTGTAAAAAAAGGGAAGGGAGGGAGGGAGGGAGAGGGGGGGAAGGAAGGAAGGAAGGAAGGAGAAAAGGAAGGGAAAGGGAAAGGGAAAGGGAAAGGGAAAGGGAAAGGGAAAGGGAAAGGGAAAGGGAAGGGAAGGAAAGAAAAAAAATCTGCCTGGTTGAGCATCACAGTTCAATTCCAGGTCAAGACACATGCCTGGGTTGTGGGTTCAATCCCCAGCGTGGGGCGTGCAAGAAGCAGCTGATCATTGATGCTTCTCTCTCTCTCTCCTTCTCCCTTCCTCTCTAAAATCAATAAAAATATATTTCTTAAAAAATGAAAATCTTACAAGTGTTAATATGTATGTAGTCACTAATCAAAAAAAACCTAAATAGGTCATGGAAAAACATCTTCCCCACATCTTAATGTAAAGGTATCATTGCTTATATTCAGACTTAATTAGATAAACTGTAGCCTTCAAATGGAGGATTTTAAGTGTAATTTAAAAGGCTAGAAAATTTTTTCTTTTAACAGCCATTTCACTTTAAGGGCCATTTTAAAGTCAGAATTGTTGAAGAATGCTTATTTTCAGCCATTCAAATACACTGACAACGGTATACTCAGATTCACTTCCTCATTCAAAGAACTTTAGAAAAGCAAAGAGTTCATACATCGCAATGCACAGACTTCCAGGCACTTAAAACTTTTAAATGTAACCAATAAAAAAAAAAGTAACTTTGAAATACTAACCAACTAAAATTCCAGACGAAAACTAGTATAAAAAACACTTTCTGAGAAGCAACATTCTCCAAAGCTGAGAGATCTTTATCTTGTGCAGGAGTACCAGATGGCTATGCTTAGATGTCAGAGCTTTATTACAGGCAAAAACACCAAGCAGTAACTGTTGCTATATACTCATTCACAGCATTTTTAAAATCCGTGAAAGTAGCCATTCCAATTCAAATAGACAGAGAATTTTTCATGATGTTAAGCTACCATTAGATCAGCAGCGCTAAAACTCTTTTTGACATTTCATTTTTTCCTTTCAAAACAAACATACTTTGACAATACTCTGTATTGATGTATATTTCTATTAAAGACCATTATGTGCTGGAAGCTTTTCTGATCACATCAAGATCTCGTTTTCAACCAGTCTCTACGCTGTACCTGTCAGATCCTTGTGTATCACTAGCTGAGTAGGTTAGAACCATCTATGTTAAAGAAATGCTTTCTGAAAAGTATATGGCCAGCTACATTTTAAAACTGTCCGAGAAGGACGTTCTACAAGAATCGGCCTTTTTCTGATGCGAAAATACTTTGCAGCCACTTGCACTGGCCCCCAAACCTTAACACGCCCGATCGTATCCTCTGCTGCAGAAAGGAGAAGAAATATGGCTGTAAACGCATTCTGCAGGATGGTGTTTCAAACAGCAACGCTCACAGCACTCAGGCCTGTTGGGCGGAAAGAAGCGGGGCGGGAGGAGGGTCCCTTACGAAACAGCAGCACGCTCCGGGCCCGCACGCTACCTCATTTCCCTAATAGGGATGAAAAGCTCAGGCCTCTGGTGGCTCCCAGCTGACGCCGCGGCTCTCCACACCCCTTTTTTTTTGACAGGATTTTCTGGTCACAAACATGAATTCCAGGATCCAGCCTAGACGGTCTAATAACCAACCGAGCGCTTTTTTGCAGGAACAGACCCTGGAGGATCCCGCTCCCTCTCCTCTCCCTCCGGAGCCCCACGCTCCGAGGCGGGTCTCCGAGACCCGCGGGCGCAAACCCTCAGCGCCTTCGCGGAGAGGCAGCCCGCGGTAGAGAAAACACGAGTTTCGGCCAGGCCCCTCGCTGGGACCGAAATT